ACAAATTAAAAAATTAAGTTAAAAAAATCTTTATTTAATTTACTTTATTAATTTTACATTTGAAAAAATGTTAAAAAGTCAACAAAAAAAAATGGCTACATCAAGTCCAGCTCGACAATGGACCTTACAAAAACACGAACTCGGTTAAGTTTGGACGAAATGATGACATCATCAGCCATTGGAAAAGGACTGATTTGCCACCATTGACAAGTTTAAGGGGTCATATGCTACTGTTTTCAGTTTAGGGACTTTTTTGCCAACTCCCAACAAATTTAGAGGGTAATTAAGCATGATTTGCCCACCTTAAATTTAAAATTTAAAATGATTTACCTAAATAAAAAATTTTAAAAGTGAATTTAGAGTGAATTTGTTCCTAATTTTCATTGGAAAGTGAATCTATTCTTATTACATAATTTTACAGGTAGATTTAGCAATTCTACCACTTTAAAAAAAAACCCTTTTTAAAAACTGTGTTTCCTGAAGCTATTGCCTTTTTTCTTTTTCCCTATGACATTCGGAATGTGCAATTTGTTGAAAACAGATATAGCCTTAAAATGAGGGATTCCCAACTACAGATTACTGGGTTGTCGTTCCCACTTTCCGGACAGACAACGGAATTGTGTATTGTTTCCCTGCTTTTTGAACAGTTTTAGCATGTAGAGGTAGAACGAATTGGAAAATTATTTTTCAGATTGACCTGTAAGAAAAAATGGTACCTATAGAATATCCTTAATCATATAGGAATTCATATACTCTTTTTCTTATAAGTTGATCTGAAATTCTACAATCCCAGGACAGAGCAGCATTGGTTAGAGAATTGGTTAGATAATAAAATGTAGAAAAAGTAGAATGGCCGAAATTGTTGAAAAGTGGGCTTGGAAATGGGAGAGCGAAGAAAGGGACTTGGAATTGGATGGGATCTCAAGGCACCTGTTTTTGTTTAATTATTTTCCCAAGTCAAAAACACACCTTTGCATGAGGCATGCACATCTTAATTCCATATATTCTCATTTATTAATCTTATGTAGAAATGAATCATCCATTATTCACCCACTCCACCGAATACAACCTCGTTCACCTCTATAGTTCTATTAACCAATAAAAGCTTAATCGAATTAATACTAATTATTACTTTGATTTGAGTCCAAATTAACACGCAAAAAACCCTAAAAAAAATGCTACTTAATTATACGTTTCTTTTCTTCTCTTTTCTTTTATTTACATGTACATATTGACCCCAAACAACATAAGTCATACAAGATCATAATGATCTTATCATTTTTTTTATTCCCATCACTTTCTTCTCGGTAGGTTTTGAAGAGGTCAGATACTTGACTTTCGTTATAGGCAATGGGGATGCGTTTGATTTTCTGAGAACGAGTTATTAGTAGCTACCCTAATGAAATTTATTAAAGAATGAAAAAAGATTAAAAAAATATTATTTTTCATCCATTCTTGGGTTAGGTTTTTTTGCTTTATAATTATTTTTCTTTTCTGATTATGATTAGTTGGATTAGGACGGTCCATCAACTGTTGAAGGTTGCAACCTTATTGCTTCTCATATTTGATATTTGTTTTACACATAATCCCATCACTATCAATCTATTTACACAATTGCCAATACCATGAGAACCTTCTCTTTATGGAGTTTTCTTTCAAGTTTCAAGACAACGGGTATTTACATTTTTTAAATTT